TGAACGTGTGATACGAACTCGACCAAGAAGAAAGCGTTCTTTTCTGAAATAACCGGGTCATTTTGAGAGAAAAAGGAAGTATGAAAAAAATTACCGAAATATTGGGACAGAAATATTTTGGTGTTTTTGTAAATACTCAATTTTGTTTCTGTGCATGACCCGGTTATTTTGGAGAACAACGCTTTCTTCTTGGCCAATCTTGTATCACACGTTCAAGTATGTTATTGTAGTGTACCATATGTATAGACCGTGGACCAGTGATGACTGCTCTTCTTCCATCACTGGATTTGGGTTCCAATCCCGGGCGATCCACGTGGAGTTTGTGGTTAACAAAAGTGTTCGCGTATCCTCGTCTCCCTCTCCATCATTCATCATCAGTCACATCATATCTTTCTACACCTACGCACCAAACCCCAACCAGCGAGCCGTCCGTCAGAATTGCAGTGCACTCGCTGATCACTAATGACCTCTGGAGTCTACAACAGCGCTTGGAGTCTTGAAAAAGCGAATAACGTTGCGATGGTATACAAGCTGTAACGAAATAAAAAAAATTATAGGAATCTATTTCTGAGCCCAAAACGGCAAAGGCCTTATTTATTGCTAATATTATGAGCATTTAGCTGGCGTATTTCCCCAACCGGGAAAGACTCACCTTGTTAACGAAACGCATGCAAATTTTGCCGCCCTTAACTCGGTCTCCTTTTTCTCGAATCGCCCTGTACCCGCGGAGGCGAGCGCGGGCCGGGGGGAGCTCACGCCGCGACCGCCGCGCCGGGGCGCGTGGAAACGAGCGTCCGCAAACACGCGCCCGAGGAGGCAGCGCCGCCCATCCGTCTTGTCGGGGTAAACGAAATCCTCCGCGGGGAGCATTATATCTTCGGCAATCGGGACGTATCGGCCGGCGCGCAGCCGAGCGGGGCGGACGGCCGCGAAGGGGGTTGGCGACCAGTCTAACGACGCGTAAGTGGGCGGTGAGCGCGCAGCAGAGAGAAGGGAGAAAGAGAGAGAGAGGTGAAGACCGGCGCAAGAGACGACGGATCGGAGGGAGAGAGACAGCGAGAGGAGCAGAGACGAAGCGGAACGAGTGCAGTGACGAGAGAGGAGAAGGGAGGCGAGTGAGAGACGAGGGAGGAGACAGCGACTGGGACTAGAGAGGTAGGGACGGGAGACAGGAAAGGAGTTGATGATATAGAGGAGCGGAGAGGGAGGGACGGCAGTAGCAGCCGACGGACAGCACGCTTAGAGCGCTTATCGGGTCCACCAGGTGCGCAGATCAACATCGCGTCGTCCACTAGTCTGCGTTTGACCTTCGAGCGTAATCGTGACTGACTTCATTTCATCCCGAAACAAACACCCCTACGTTGCCACACCCGAACGCGTCCGTCTAACTTCCCCATAGATCTCTGCATGGCGCGAGTAGCGCAATAGCGTTATTTCGAACACACCATACGAGAAGCACGCTCAAGATTGTCTTCATGCAGATGGTCTTCGTATCGTCTTCACTCTCCAGCTCATTTCAGAAGAATGGAATCGACAGAGCGAAAAGAAACTAAACTTCGTTTAACAGAAGGAGCTTTTGGACGACGTCGGAAGAGGTTATCCGTGTTCATTGTGAACATGTCTCTTTTTCAGGAAGTGTTTTAATGAATTCAGCACATCGGACGGAAACATTCGATGTCGACCGATCGAAGTTGTGGGCAAAAGCGGCTTCACCGTGAACGCCGCCTAATATTGATTGATTGATTAATTAATTACTTAATGATTTTGGAATGTGTCAACGAGTTTTCAAAGCACATTAAAATTGTAGTGAACGCTAGATCTAGATAGTACCTCTCCGCTGTATCGTGATATACGGCGCCGACCTACATGCCCGAAGCACGCTTTTCCCCTGCCACGTAACTCCTGCCAGCAGTTCTCTGCTTCAGCCTGGAGGGAGTTGCAAGGAAGTGGCCCAAAAGTGAGGAGTAGGAGAAAAAAGGATGGGAATAGGAGTAGTGGGTGAAATATTCGGTAGGTAAGAAAGAGGAGTGGATCAAAGGGATGTCCGATGGATGTAAGAAAAGTGGTGAGGGAATTAGTGGATGCATGTATGTAGCAATGAAATTGAGTTACAAGGAAAGGTCAGTCGTCAAAATACCGCACACGTCGCATGTCAAAGCATTAAAAAAAAGTGATGGAAAAAGTGGCCAAGTATAAGTAGTGGGTAGGTGAAGGATTGTGCGATGAACAAGAGCTGAATAAAAGGATTGGGAGCATAAAACGATGTGAGTTAATGTTTTGGAGTATTTGAGATTGATTTATTCATTGATTTGTGTTCCCAGACGAATCAACTTCTAAAGTTATTAGTCCCGCAAAGGTTGTGAATGTTTTATCGCGGGAGGTGACAGCGATTTTCCTCCGGTGTATGGCGAGATTCGGTGAGATTGTTCCTAATCAAGTGTTGGCAATCGCGTGGCCCCAGCCAAGACCCCAGCCGAGACAAGTTCTAAGCTCCCGACTGGTCTCCGGACATTTGTGGTAGTGTGGTACAAGTAAGTATAAGTGTGAGTAAGCAGAGGTTGAGGATAGGCCAAGGAAGAAGAAGGAAATATGGCGCGCATCCCGTGGTCCGTATGTTGCTCCGACATTCACATGTTGTTGATTGGAAACCGCGTAAAACTACCAATCAGAGCAGCCGGCTGCTAGATTTCTCCTCCAGACGGCAGCTCGGTATTGGCGTATGGTGTATGAGGGAGCGGAAAATAAATATTGGATGGATTAGTTTTCTATGTTTGAATTAGAAATGATTGAGAAGTATCTGTAAAGGGTGCTTGTAGAATATTGATAAGGGGAACGAGTAAAAGAAGTCTATCCCGAGACCATGATTATGGAATACGAAGGATAACCGTGAATGTCAATGACTGGAAGTATGGACGATAAGAAATATGAATGCAACAATTATGATTTTATTGAAGATATGAAACGATGTAAATGTAAATGCGACAACAGTGATAAAAATGATGAGATTTATAAAAGAAACAGAAAGAATGGACAAAGTGTATAAAAAATGAAATATTCTGGAAGAAAGAAAATAAAGCTTTTTATATTATTATAGTCATGCAAGAGAACACTGAAAATAAACTACATGAGATTTAGATGTTAAAGTTAATACTTCTTCGAAACATTTTTTTTTGTGTAATTTTTAATGAATTGTTACATTTATATCTTTGGAGATCATTAGGAGTAGTATAAATGTTGTAAGAACGTGAAGAAAGAAAGTTAACCGGTGGAAGTGTTTACAAGCTATTTGCTTTTTTTATGAAACGGATTAATAAGAGACTTAACAAGTGAAAGTGCTCAGTAATAAGCGTAAAATTCGTTGAATGAGAGAAAAAGATGGTGTGAAGGTTAGTGCAGGTAATTTCTACTCTAAAGCAATAAGGAAAGCAGTAAAATAATTTCCTTCGTCAAGAAAATGAACTTGAGAAATAACACCGCCGTAGACTACATTGTGACTGAGCAGGGAGGCATATAAGCAAACTGGTAAGAGGAACTGGATGTGTACGTTAGAAAACGTATGAGCAGTTACAAACCGACAGCCGTGGTACAGACACCTAGGTATCTCTAGGGTGGCAGAGTTTTTTTAGATCAGCTAAGTAGCTGGAACGTACTGGTCACTTGATGGTTACAACGGTTTCCTTCTGTTAATATCAGACGGATTCCGTAACCATTAAAGTTTTGCTCATGATTGGCATTTCAAAGACCTTCATAGTTTGAGCGCGCTAATTCTGTCAGATGCTGCCCCCACTACCATTCTTAAAATCATGCGTCGGACCGATTCCTTGGCTTTGTAAGACACATTAATCCAATAAACTATCAAATCTACGTCAAGTGTCGAAGATCTTGATGCGAGACACTCGAAACACCACAGAAATGTACAACTCAAACTGTGTACCCTTTGAGTATTCTGGGACCTTATCGAATAAAAGTTTAGGAATTAATAGAATCGTAGTGACTTCTGGGGGGGGGGAGGACGAGCACGATTCTTCCTTCTTGATTACACTTTCATCGTGAAATTGGGAAACAAGATGATCCTCCAAACCATGGAGTCCCTTTCCTTATGATGTAGAAAGACTTCTGTGACTGCAGTAGCTCAGCGTAACATCGTTGCATCTGCAGCGTCGCTAACTGGGGAATCCGCGAGTTCGAGTACCGATGGTACCGAATGTTTCACTCTAACTAGACAACCGAGTCGAATTCTGTCACTGTCACTGTCACTGTCACTGTCACTGTCACTGTCACTGTCACTGTCACTGTCACTGTCTGGAGGAGTATTCTAGCAACCTGTTGCTCTAACCGGTGGTTTTCTTTGGTTTGTTCAATCAATACCAGACAAATGTCGGAGCAGTGCCCCCAACAAATGAGCTGATGATCGCGCGCGATATTTCCTTCCTCACGATTGCTCCATTCTCTGTTCTTACACACACACACACACACACACTTGCATGCATTACACTTCCATATAGTGAGTAGGGAGACAAATCGGTAGCATAGAGTTTGTCCCGGCAGAGCCGGTATCCTTCTGTTGGAGATACCTGGAGGCCAAAACCCTTGAAGCAGATATGTAAGTCAGCGGCGATTGACACGTTCCAATCGAGGAGGAACACCGCCATCTCTCGGATTATATGATGACCACACTTACGGTACTAATTATCTCGGAAGCTGACACGCCTGTAGTGAATACTTAATCAGTCTCTCGAATGGCTCCGATAGTGTTGCACGTACGGGAATTTCAGGTTCGAGTCCCAACTGGGCTGCGGCGCTCTCGATGAGAGCAAGTGGAACGGAAAGACGAAATTTATCGAATGCAGACTGGTTCAGTGGTGAGCACGTTTGGACAGTGAATTGTCCGGCTGGCAACGGGAAGGCGAGCTGCGAAGTTGTCCGCTGGTCCCCTGCGGTCGTAAATCGACATTCGCCCGAGCGCTGTGTTGTCCCTGATTAATTCCTTGTTGTTGCAGGTGCGAAACGGACGCGCGGGAACGCGGACGTGGCCTCGAGTCAACGGCCTGCAGGAGTGGCCTCCACCTTCGCTTCTTTTTCTAGAACGAGGCTATTCTCTAACGCAGTAGTATTTTCCATAAGCACCGGTTTTTCTTCCCTGTTCGTAAACTGTTAGTAATTATGATCCGTTGGAATCATCATATCCTTAGCACATTTGGGGATATTCGTATTCTGAATTTAATACATTTTATACTATTACAATTTTCTTATCTTTTCTGCTCTATTACAAACTTATGTAACGAGCGTATCACAGAATATATGAATAAATATACCTCGTTTACTTACACTCTCATGTTTTATCACCTATTTTAGGCGCCGAAAATGTTCTCTTAATATGCAAATATTTTCTGTTCAATCTCTTCAATAGCAAATAATGTTTTTTTTTTCATTTAATCGATTGTATTTCAATTTTTATTAAAAGCTTGAGTGAAATATTAGAAAGTTCACAAAAAGAAATGTACATTCTAAAAGTTATGACTTTTTATTTGAGAATAATTAATAATTAATTAAATATTAAAAATGTATGATAGAGGCAGTCAGATCTCAATGACTAAGGGAAAATAGTGTATTTAACTCATATTGTAGAAGTTATACTGGTGTAATATGTGTTAAATAAACTATTTGTACATTATTGATTGTGGTATTATGATTACCTTTGTCATACATATATAATATGAATTACCACAAATTTCAGCAGAAACCGCGAAGATAATAACATTAAAATTCATTGTATAATAAACACGTCATTTGTTCATTATTTTGTTTTTTGTGCAAATTGCAATCGACCTATCGTCGTTTTTTCATCAAACTCGATCAAGCGTATGAGAAAGCGTTTGAGAATCAGCGAGGGTCACTTCTGAAGTTTTCTTCAGTTACCGTTAAATGTGGACACATTTCCAGTAGTGTATGTTATATGGTTTAAATTCCAATAAAACCTATCACAAAATTTGCAAAATTTGTCTGTTTACAATAGTATTCCGGCTACCGAGATAGAGAAAAAATGTATCATTGATTTTATTTCGTCGTTCGATTTCTTAAGCTTTGAAATGTTCCCATTTGTTCTGTTAGTTAACATCACAGAGAAATAATTTGAGGAAGATGGAGATTCAAAAATTTCGATCAATGCCTTCCTCTTGTTAAGTACCGCGGAAACATTGGGTTGCGAATGTGTACACCGTCAGGAATGTCATCTACTGTGTGTCGTTTGTCTGAAAACTTATGTTCCGACCACGGTATATCTAATACACATGGATTAAAAAAAAGCATATCCCCCCCGAACAGTGACCCTACTCTTCCTTCATCGCCTTGCAAAACATTCTTGACCACACTCGAACATGCTTGTCTCTGGAGACACAGGAGCCCCGTTGTGGTCCTCTGTCGCAGGTACCTCCCAAGACGGCGACCGAAGGACCTGCGGCCGGTTACTTTTATTCGCAGGGATGAATGCGTATTTGCGCACGCGAGCGCCTCCAAATATTGTCCGTGCGCGTTGCAAGTGCTCTCTGAGAGCCGCTCTCTGGGAGGTGGCCACGTGCGCTCTCGGGCATTGTGGCGGCTTCGCCGAACCCCTCCTGGAGGGATTGACCCCGCCGCACGCGGCCCCGCGCGACGTCACTCTTTCTCTTGTTCCGCGAGAGGAAAGACGCGTCGCCGTGTGTGCACGGTTTTCCACGCATGTCAGAGGCCGCATGCGCTTGTCGCTGTTGACTGTTGACTCCGCAAGAGTCGTATCTTTTAACGGGGATGATTCACGCGACTTGATGCAAGGCCCTAGCACTTTGTCCCGGCATGGGGATTTTATGGATTAAATACGTCGTTTTATGATTGCTGTTAAATGAGAATAATGTGTATTGTGGCGCACAGCCCGCGTCGTGTGGGTGGCATTTCAGGAAGTGTGACCATCAAGTGGTGCAAACTGTGGGAACGCGGAGACCGACAAGGTTATATCTTTTGAGCTCAAAATGATTGAGTCCCTGGGTAAAAGTAAGTCACCGTTTTTGCTATAGAAATGTCAGAGATTCAGTAATGAAGATTTCGTTGAGCCCAATTTGGGAAACCTGATATAGAAACAGTAACCATACGTGAAAATTTATTTTCTAAAAATTTAAATTCAAATTCGTAGGCAAACTTCTGAGGTATAATTTCTTGCATTTGCATATTAGTGATAACATTTATATAACACGGTTATTGTTTGAGGAAACAGAAAAATATTTTTCAGATCTTGTGAAGAGTACAAAAGTATTATTTATCTTCATTGTTTGTCAAAACTTTGCGTAAATATTTTGAAAGAAATAAAATATAGAATTAATATGTATTAAATATAATATTAAAAATACATTTGTCATTAATTTACTACTTCTTATCCCGAACAAAGATTCAACTAACTGTTAACACGTAGCTTAGAATTACGTGTATTTAACACGTACGCCATCCGAATACACTCGATACCTATTGAACACCATCAATGTTCGCATGATCCATATTAAATACGTTTATATGTTCATACTCTGGGATTGTCGCCGTAACTAACACTTCAACATATTCAATCCGTTTGAGTTGGCAACAGTGGATCTGTACCGGGAGGGCCCTGGTTCGGGCATTCGCGGTTGTGAAAGCCCCTCCTGTTAATCGTTTTGCAAGAGGAGTGTGCTCCAGACGCCTTTAAGAGACGGCTGTAAATTTGGCGAGACGTATTTCGAAGAAGAGGATGGGCGCTTTGAAAATCAGTTTGAGATGGGGCACGTACAAGAGCTTTGTGACAAGTGAATATTCGCTTTCAACTTTTTAATTTTCATTGCCTGTCTGCTCTAAGTTAAGGTTTAGTGTTGCAGTTCTGCGCGAGAGAGATGTGCAATAAATATTTTTTACGGCGTTGGTTCAGGAAGTACAGGATTCCAATGAACTTCTTTGTTTGTGAGTTGCAAAGCAAGGAACTGTAATTCTGCAGTACTCGGTGGTGTTGGGTTACCAGTTGAACATAATCTTTCTTCGGCTGTGTCGGATACACCGGCGCTTCTGCATAACTAGTTTAAAGGTGATCTACGAAGGATAAGATTCAGATTTTTAGCTTGAGATATATTTTACTTTGTTAAAAAAACGAAAAATAGGACTGAAGATCATTGCATGAATATTACCCACGACTTTTAATTCGAAAAGAGTAAACAAGAAACGCATGATTGAATACGGAACTAATGGACGATCAAGTTGGATACACATCGATATTACTTTCTAGAAAAATATCCATTTACAGCTTTTCAATTGCATTGCTAATCCGGACAAGTAAATCTTTAAGCAACATTACTCACTAACATATAATTTTTTTTTGTTATTTAAGGTCGCATCAATTTCTAGGTCATTAGCGACCACTATTGATTGTAACTGTATGGTAACTGTAAGGATGACACGATATGATGATAGTGGGTGAAAGGACGAACACAATACAACCATGCCCGAGGCGGGACTCGAACCCGCGAGCCTTCGGTTCGAGATCGCTACCGCACTACTGCTTTAGCAATCTCGGTCACCGGATCGGCAAAATATTTGTTAAATACTTTTGCAAATATTTTATTGTCATTAAGTAAAGTTCAGTGCTTCCCTCAATTTACCATCAACGTTTCGTATATCATTTATTGCGATTCAATGATCTACTAGAAAACCGTTTCCAAGGGTTGGAAAACTCTCTTCATTCTCATTATTTAGGATTGACAAAGCTAAAGACTAAGATATTTCAACCAAAATTTAAAATTTTATCTTTTACATTCGTTAGTTTTAAGTACGTTTCTTACTTTTACGACTTTTATTCATTGCGTCTCAGAAGACATTGGAAACAGAGAAACGCATGAGTAGAAGAAAAACATAGAAACATTATCTATCACGTTTCATTATAAGTCCTATTTTGTAATACTCAACCAGTGGTTAACACACATGACTTTACATAGTTCTGCTAGTATGTACTGGATGATCGTACTGTGCGTACAAAATATGAGAAACTGTTATGATCAGTTAATATACTTCATATAGCATAATTTTCCAGTTTGATTGCATAAATACATACTTGTGTCTTAGATAGATGTCATATGAATACAGTAAGTCATTGCCAGTACGTCATTGTCGTACAGTCATTACACCGCAGACAATTTAAAAATCTGAGTAGCTTATCAGTTTGCTGCGAGTCTATTCGCGTGGGCCACGCCTCCCAGCAGCCTGCAATTTGCTCCCAGGCCTCCACGTGTCGGCCGCCACGTGTACCCCTCGATTAAAGCACCTCGCATGCATCCAATTTAAAACGCAGATGCTTCTGCCGCGTTGACAGAAGACAATGGAAATTGCTCAGCCTCAGTTCCGATCGCTGTAGCATCCTCCATGCCGAAGCGTTGGGAGCCTCCGCCCACGCCGCACCCTTTACGCTGCGCTGTTCCACCGCCTCTGGCCCCGCCGCCCCCGCCGCCGCCACGTCGGTCTTCGCCATTTACAAAGCTTATGGATCCAGAGGGGATAAAAAACTCACTAGGCCCACGACATTAAGGACAGTTGACGCGCGCGTGAACACGAAATAATCAATCATTTTAATTGTTGAAAACCAGACACTATAAGTGACATTTTATAAATTCTTAGAAAATCGTTTTTTATTCTAGGCTATATTTCAGTTAGCATAGTACTTCGTGCGTTTCAACCAACAATTGAAAATGGCCGTGGGTTGAATGATGAAAACAAAGCCACTACGAATTTACAGTGTATTGACTTAAATAGATACATTTTATCAGAATTCATAAAATGTCAATTATACCATTCTGGTTTTCACTCGTCATTTGTAGTATTTCATGAAATCATACATTTGTAATGTAATACAATAGAACCGAGACACTGACTCGCCGTCGTCTGTTATATAGACAAATCTGAATTAATTGCGAAAACTCAATGATAAAATGTATGGTGAAGAATGTGTTGGCGTCAGTGAAGATACCTACAAGTAGAAGTCAAATGTGTTAATTTGTGCAGGCCGACTGAGATGACTTAGGTCGGCAACTGCTTCCTCTACATTGTCACCGATCTGGAGGTCCTAGGGTTCTTGTAAAGACAGTGTTTTGACAGTAGTCATAAAGCTGGGTCGAAATCAGGCGCTGTCCGGAGGGAAGTTTTAGCGCTCGGCTGCTCTCTCTCAAACACACAAACATACGC